TATATAATTTTTTTATACATGTCTGTTTATACATGTACTTTTTGGTTAGTTGTTATTAAAACACTAACTACAACATTGATGTCTGTTGATGTATCCTCTTCTGAGGAGGTGTAATTGAGACAGCAGAAAACACAATCCTGACATCCCCACAGGCTTTTCCCGGTGTCCAGGAACCTATTAAAGCAGGAGGGAGCTTGGAACTGTTGAAGGTGCTGCCTGATACTTGGGTGCTCCTAGCACACCTGAGGAGGCTGTAGTGGCAAACTGCCACCAGTTCCGGCCAGTTCCAGGAGCACAGTCTGCTGCTGACTGTTAGTGCCACTGGTGGTCCAGGGTTGTGTCACCAGGCATGTGTCTCAAGAGCCCGTTTTATCAGAAATTGGCTTGAACAGCATGTGCCAGCTTTGTGCTAATGAAGGATCGTCTGGTGTGAATGACTCACTTGTTAAGTGTCTTTAAGATTACTCTGAAGGGTTTTTCCTAGCAAGACAAACCAGTGTCAATACTCAAACACCAGAGGCCTCCATGAAATTCATAATTCTTTCATGGAAATCAAGTAGTATCTTCACCTGGACAGGTTTTTCTTTTTCACAATATTTTACTGTCTTCTGAAATGTATGTATTTTGATAGTTTAAATAATTACCTTTTTGCAACTCTGATTCCCAGTGTTAATTATTTTGGTTCTTATGTGTGAGTACATTTCCATTGTAGTGAAAAAAATAGCTACTGAACTTCTGAGAAGAAAAAATCCTTTTCCTGTTTCTTTTGTTTGTTTTTCAAGCTGGACCATCCATCCCCTCAGTAGTGGCATATCCTAAAAGAAGCCAGACTAGTACTACAGACAGTGACCTCAAAGAGGAAGGAATTCAGTCAAGAAAATCCAGCAGTAGTGCTGTTGCAGGAAGAGGAATTGCACCAGCTAGTCCAATGCTTGGAAATGCCAGCAATCCCAATAAGGCTGATATTCCTGAACGTAAGAAAAGTTCAGCTGTTCCTAGTGTAAGTAGAAACGCTTATTTATCAAAACAATTAAATGTTTTTGCGGGGTGAAAAAGTGTTCAACCTGTGATTTATCAGTGGTGCTAATTTTACTTTTCATCAGGAGTAAATGTAGGTATCTCATACTCTTGCCTTATTTTTTCTGCTGCATCAGTCAGCTACTCAAGTTAGCTCTTAATATTCCTGAAGTAGTTAGTAGGTGTTAACAGTTAGCACTGGTAGTTGTTAGTGAACAGATGTAACCTGGGTATCAAATAATCATCTAAAAGAAAGAAAAAAGAAACTGAACCCAGAGGTTATCTCCTGAAATTTCATGAGAGTTATTTCTGGTATCACCAGCTACTCTTCTCTGGCTTCCATACGGAAGAATGAAATCTCAGTTTTTATTACCATGTTTTATAGTTTCATGTGTGTAAGGAGCCACCTAATCTTTGTTCTCAGACTGTACCAAGTCATAGTTATGTATATTAAGATTATCAAAGAAAAGCATCTCTAAAAAATGTTCAAGGGTGTATTTCAACATGTATTTAAAAGCAGTGTGCCTGGCTTTTGTCCTTGTGGACTTCCCCCACCTGCCCCTAAATCTCAACAACAACAAAAAAACCACCCACTATGGTTCATAAAAAGTGAATTTACAGGGTTGAGCAGTAGGCAGTGTGCCAAATGAAGGAAAATCCTTTGTTCAGTTTGGCTTTAGCTTGTATATTCTGTGGTGCCTCCCTCTAAAGCAAAGTTGGAAATCTATTTTCATATAATAACTCTTGAGTCTTGTACCATTTAATTTGTAAAACTTTGGGGTTCTGTATTGAAAAACTTCTTTTCAGAAGAAATAACTTTCCAATTTTTTTTTAACTTAAAATTGAGGTTTGTTTTTTTTTTTTAAAATCTTACCCCACAAAGCTGTCATACTTATTCATATACTTAGCACCATTACTTAGAACAAATGAGAACAGAACTTGCTGAGCTCACAGCTTTTTGACAATCTGAAGCAAAAGAAGTAAAATAAGATTTGTTTTGCTTTATTGGCTCTGTATTGTCAGTTGGCTTAGTGACTGATAGTGACTTGGCTGGAGGATTGCAGTTAGAGATTTCTTAGGCACGTCTTCTACTGCAGTCACTGTTAATCATAAATGTGAACAAAAGCTCATGATTTTGGGGGACCCATTTCTGATTTTTCTGGTCCCCTGCCCTTTCCCTTGTTGGTTTTTGATCTGTCCAGAAACCATTCAGACTTTGTTTCTTCTTACATGACAGTTGGTAGCTACTGAGTCTCAAAATGGTATCAAAATCAGTTTTGTCCTACATTGGACTTCACTCAGTGTCGTGTAGTGCCTTATTCAAGAGCTTTGCATCACAGTTAGAGCATATTTTACATTTAGTGTCTTTAGTGTTTTGATCTGCTGTTCTATACCACTCCCAAATGCTGGGGATTTATTCTATAGTCTGATTTCAAATTTCATACTACTGTAGCTGAAATAAAATTTCAGCTCATAACCACAGGATACTTGTCTTTTCTGATTCAGTGTGCAACTGATCCAACCGGCTTTTACAAGCAGTGGTACAAGGTCATGAGTCAGACTTATGCTTTCCCTGCCTCCTCCAGCTAGTCTTTTGCTTTCCGGCTGTTGGGAATGGAGGGAAGCACACAGTTCTTGGAACTGATTAGGGAGTTTTATTTCCTCAAGTATTAACATGCATCTAGAAGGAAAAAAAGGGTGTTGGAGTTAGCATATTGTCCTGAAGCTGAAGAAAGTTTGAGGTAGAGTTTGTTTTCTCACTGAACACTTAAGTCCTAAAATCAGTAATATAATGAGATAATCACTGAAGAGACAGAAAAATACTGTCTAAAAACAGTTATTACTTTGACAGATACAGCAAAAGCAATAGAACTCTTCGTCTGGAGACTTTTAGCCAGAGAGCGTGCTGCTCTTGTTAAATAACAAAGCCTACAAGCATGCACTTAAGGATAAGAGTTGTGCTTGTAGAGCAGATAGCCAAGTCGGGTTGGAGTAAGGGGCTCCAAGCTGTACTTCTAAAGTTTGAGGGAGTGTTTAAACTCTTGCAAGCTAAATAGTTCTGCAAGCTGAACAAGTGCCCAACAAAAAGCTTCAGGTTAATTGGGCAAATACCAAATTAAAAATTAAAACCTGCTACAGGGGTTGCATAGTTAGCAGCAAGTAGTAACTTCTTGTTCTAATAACTCCTTGTCTATTACTCACAGCTTTGGATTTTTCCTCAATGCTTGTAATAAGGCTGCCCCAGGGCCCTTAGTATAGCTTTAAGAACATGTATTCTCCTCTTCCAGTTTTATGTTGGAAAATAGTTTAGGACCAAAAAACATACTAGTGCTCTTAAGTAAATAGATTGGTTCATTATTATAAGCCAGAAGCTGATTCTTTGAAAGTTTTGCATCAGTCCTTGCCTTGGTGTCTCTTAATGTGAAAAATAGCCTGCCTAACCAGTGGGCACAAGACTCGCTAGGAAAAGGACTCTGTGCCACAAATTCATCCTTTGTGCCGTGGTTGGACCTCTTGTCTCAACATGTGCTTTTGCAGTATAAACACCTCCTGCAAAGAAGGCGGACAGTGCCATGAGGAGGAACTTCCGCAGCCAACCCTAACCCTAGGGTCTGTCATTCCATCAGGGAGCATGGTGCTGTTGACACCAGGTTCAGGCTTCCTGTGCTGTGCAGCTGTGCAATGTGATCTGTAGATCAGGTGAACAAAAAAGTCATAGCTGAAGAACCTCCTTGATTAATCATGGGAAGTCGTGTGCTAAAAAGTGTAAAATCCCAAATACCAAGACTGTATTCTTGCGAAAACTGAAAGTTGAAAGCTTGAAATGCTTAAATCTCCTCTTGCAACCTCTGAAATCAGAGCACCACAGAAAAAAATGTATACTGATCCTTCTGTCTTTGCTTTCCAGAAAGGGCTGGGAAAGTGTGTCTTTAGAGTCGTCTGATTTCAGATATCAATACCAAAACTTGTCCACTCCCAAAGCTGAAAATGTATAGTCTTTGCAGTTTCATCCAGCAGAGAGATTGCTGTCTTATCTTTCTAAAGGTGCAACATCACAGTACATTCTAATGTTAAATGGTGTCTTCAACGGAAACAAACATTTAATGTTCTAAGGGAGCACATGGAAGGAAGGAAGTGACCCTTTTTATTGTGTGTATTTTCCACCAGAAGAACACTGTTGGGTATTTTAGGTGCTTAATTCTCTAATATGTTCAGGAACACAGGACACAATTATATGCAAATATTAATATGTAGTACTTCAGTGTACCATGGGTTTGCAAGGGCTCCACAAAGTGGCTTGCACAGCTTGACCTCTCAAGAACTTATAAACAAAACTTCACATTCGGTACACAGCTTCATAGCTAGCAAGTTTAGTGAAGAGAGGGGAGTTTTCACAGTGACAAGTGTCAGAGGACAGTAGAAGCATTAATGGGTTTTTTTAAAATAAACAGATTTGAAACAAATAAACAGTTTTGAAGGCGAGGGGCCTGTGAGGAATAAAGTACAAGGAAAGGGCCAGGAGGACTTCTGCTGATGCTTGGCATGTGCCTATCCCTAAGGAATATCCAGTGAAGAGTACTTGAGAACCCTTGAGACAACTACATACATCTTATGATTTAATTAATCTTGGTACTCTTTGTATTTTTTAACAACCAGGAGTACGCATAGTTTGTGCTTGAATTTTTATTTGTACGCTCACCTAAAGAGGTAAACCAGGTTGGTAGTCTTTTAACAGACAAGATGGCTTCATTGTTAAATCAGCAGCTCAGGAATTGCACTACTTGAGACTCCCTGTATAGCCAATATTTTGCCTTAAGGCACCAGAGGAGCTTTTGTTTGTTATTGAGAATATCCCACATTAACAGTTTTATTTCAGGTTTGGAAACAACAAAGGTTTGGCTACTCTCCTTTTGTGTTTGAACTAGTTTTTCCTGTCTCTTTTTTATCCTTCTTCCCATGATTCTCTACTGTGACCATTTATGTGAAACCTTTTCTTAATGATATTGTAAAAATCCACTGAATTTCCCTTGTCTATCATAGCAGTAATTCTTCAAAGAACTCCAAAAGGTTAGTTGAGCATGAAGTCCCTGCCTGATTCTTAGTGGCCATCCTTACTCAACATGTGCTTATCCAGGTCCTGACCAGTCATTCCCTTAAGCTAGCCTCCTCCAAGACTTTCCCCAGCAGTGATGTTTAAAGTTAATGGCCTACTTTGCTTCCTGCTTTGCCCCATGATCCTCTTCTTTAAAGAAACTTTTTAAAGGTTTTTTCACTTTCCAACCATATGCAGTTTCCTGTGTTATGTTCTTGGGATGGGGAGAAAAAATATAAGGCTTGCCGGCTTCTACTTCCTCTTCAACCTGGGGGTGCATGTTTATCTGGACCGCCATGCTTTTCCTGCAGTAATTGCATCTAACTTTTTATAATTTTGTTATCTGTGAATTACCTAGCTTCTCAGTCGTTCCTGGAAAATTGACCGCCAACTTGGGCATATCTCCACCCTCTTTCTCTGTAAAGACAGAGGCAAAGTAATTCTATTTCTTTTCTCCCCTCTAAATTAAGGTCTGTAGTTTTAAGTTCCCCTGGTTCTCTTGTCCTCAGTGTATTATGCTTGCATTTAAATGTATATATTTTTAAAAATGTATTAAAATTCTATTCAATTTGTCTCTTTAATTTGACTTATTCTTCCCTGTTTTTAAAACTTGTCTAGTGTTTTATACTATTTTAATATTTAAAAGTTCATGTTTACCTTCCCACTGAATTTTGCCACATTTGTTTCTTAAGTCTTTGCTTTTCCTATCTTGTTTAAGGGTATGATTTTAACTTAAAGGAAAATTCTACAGTCTACAAGTGGTAAAGTATTTCAAAAATAGGCTATAAAGACATAGGCTATCCAGATGTAGATGGATGCTATACATGCTGAGAATTTGTAATTCATAACATGGGTAATTGAAAACTTTAAGCGATATTAGTTTTGAATTATCAACATGAAATGCAAGAACTTGTTAAAATTACTTTTTCTGATTGCATTATTACTTAAAAATACTGCAAGGTGTTTGTATATGAACTTATTTAGTTATTGTAAGTTTTATAACTGTGTAGAACTAGCATAAAGTAAAACAGCCTTCAATTATATGTAGACTTAACCCCAGAAGAGCCTTTTGCAGGGAATAACAAGCCTATTTTTTCTAATTGTAGAATAATACTGCCCCTGGAGCAATGACACGGCGCAACACATATGTTTGTAGTGAAAGAACCACTGCTGATAGGCATTCAGTGATACAAAATGGCAAGGAGAACAGGTATATGAAATGTCTTCCTGTGGTGTGTGTCCCTTGTCTTCACATTTCCAAAAAACCGTAATGCCTGATTTAAAAATCAGTAATATTCTAGTGTAATTCTTAATGAAAGGTGAGTACAGATCTTTGGTTTTGGAACACCTGTAAGTATGTTTGGGGTTTTTTTCTATGCTTAATTCATACAGTCTTTATGCTTTGAATGTAAAAGTAAGATCCTAATTTCTGGTTATATACATGTCGTATTTGTACAGCCTTCATCTTAAATCAGTTGTTAATTCCTGTGGCCAAGCAGCACATGCTTGCAGAAGAGGCTTGTTTATTGTCAAGCTACAAAATCCATCTCTCTTGGGCCATTATCGTTTTACATTTCACTCTAAACTGTACTTTGTTGGGATTGTTTGGAATACTGTTTTTTTGACAAAGTCTCAGGGAGAAAGTAAATTTTTTCTGAGCAAAGATGAAACAGTGATGGGCCGTTGTCCTGGACTAATAACATTCCTTACTGATATCCTTGCAGTCTAATTGCTTCCCAGTATTTACAGAACTCCTCTTGAGAAGGGAAGCACTGAGATCTCTATATTCTGAGTGAAAACAGTCAGAGAAAAACAGGTTTCCTCTTATTTTACTGAATGAAAGCCTGACTGGAGCATGCAGTGGAGCTGGAGTTAACCAGTTCGTGTGTTAGCACTATAACGACGTCTAGTGTCATCCTTCCCTATGTACCAAAGACTGAGGAGAGCTGTAGAAAATAAATATAATAGTGAATGTAGACATTAGGTATAGAGTAACACTTGTGAAGAATATCACCAAATTTCCTGGCTGGCTGAGATGTTTTAAGTTCCAACTAACTTTTCTTCACAGAATTTTACTGTTTGCAAAAGCTGGTAACAATTAAGTAGTTAACTGTTGCCAGGAGAGCACCCAGACAGCTAGTACTTATTAAAAATGCTTAAGCTTGGAGGAATGTATATGTCTCTCCTACTCTTCCCAATTTTCTCCACCCCTTCCTAATTTTATGATATATTTTAAAGGGTGGGAAGAAAATACTTTTATTTCGGCTCGTGTTGTTGAAAGATGTGCCATTTTTTGCAGAGAATTTTTCCCCTTTCTTTCATCAGTTTATAAGGAAGAATGGCAAAGTTGTGATGGTCAATGGAAAGTCTGTCTGTCCCTTGTTTGACCCCTGGATCCTAGGGATAAAGAACATGATTTTGACCCTGCTTCTTCCTCCTAGTTTTCTGCAAACTGAAAGTGATTAAGGAAAAAGTCAAGTATAAGTCTGAAGAGTGCCAAAAGTCTAGCTGGCCAGCTAGGCCTGCAGTCAACTGTCTTGTGAAGTACAGCACAGCTATTTGGTACTGTCTCTTGGTGTGTCTGTCTCAGCCTTCATTGGTTAGTCCTTGTTAATGTCACCAAGTTTGTTTAGATTAAACCTCACCATCCTTTCTGTGATTTGATAGGTTAATAGCTTTTTTCTTTCCAAACTCTCTTTGATAAATGAATCTTCCTGTCCAAAATAGGTTTGATCAGATTTGATTGCCTGATTTCTTTGTTTAATAACATTTTTATTCATCTTTAAACTAATATCTTTGCAGTATCTTGTCTACAATTTCTTTATTACATTTTTTTCTTTATTACATTTTTTAAATTTATTAGATATTGTTTACTAGGAATGCTTGAGGTTCAGATGTCCCCTTAATTTAGGAGTAACTTCATATTCCTAAGGAGCTGTTGGAGCTGTCTTTTGAAGTTTTTTTTTGGTTTTTTTTTTTTTTCCCCAGCTTTGAGTTTCTCAGCAAACTGCTGTCTTTCTGGTTTGTCTCATATGGGCATTAAGCTCAAAGTTAATATTCAATACTACTTGGCAACTATGTTAATTCTGCTTTATATCCATAGTTGGTTATCCTTTTGTAATCTACCTTTTATTGTCAATATGATATCCAAGCATCATGTGCTTATCCTGCAAACTTTAGCCCTATTTGGGTCATTTGAAATGTCTGAGCATTTATATTTTCACTGTTGGGAAAAAAGAATCTTTGTAGCTTGTATTGTTTATTTTTGATTGCTACTTTCATAACTCTTTATAGAGGGTTAAAACAAGAAAAGATTTGGCACAGACTTCAGAACTTGTGTCTGAATATATTTTGCTGAAACTGGGCAAAGGCTTGATTGATCACATGAAATGCAGGGACCTTTAACAGAGGCTCAATAAATGTGGCTATTGATGTGACTGGCTCTTCAGAACGAATTCTGCCTGCCTTCAGGTGTTTCTGTAGTATCTCTAGTATTACTGTACTCTCAACTTGGCTGAAAGTAGCTTTAGAAACTTGTAATGTTTTTTCTTCAGTGAAGCAACATCTGAAGTAAACCTGAGCTTTGTATGAATCTAAGGTTTTGTTAAAAATATTTTCTGTGCTTTTGAAATGTCTGTTGGTGGCAAATGTTAAAAACAGGAGTAAATACTGTAAATGGTTTGCTACAGATTGGATTTTAGATTTTCCATAGCCAGTCAGACACTGACTGTGACCCAGTGACAACTTGAGAGACTTTCCTTAAAAGGCAAAATGTGCACATTTGAAGTCCCTCTTCTTTCTGTAGGGAAGATGTTAAAATGTTGCCTGTTCTCGTTTTATTTTGCACACTGAATTCTGAGAAGGCACTATTTATGAAGTTATGGAAACTTTGAAGAATTGATAGGCAGTTAGTTGACCTGATGTTGGAGAAGGTAGTCTTGAAGACCCCATGCCAGACTCGTAGAAACCAAGGGTTTTTAGGTCTCACATCCCTACTTTAACACGTTGTGTGGCTGACACAGGCATTCTGCTGGAGATGACTCTGGCTTTCCTCCAAAGCCTGAGCATTAATTAACGCACTTGGGGACTCATGAAACACTCTTCATAATGATAGGCAATTGCTTTAAATAATTTGTAACACAAATGAATTACAACAGCCTCAGATTTTTAATAAGCCTTGGCAGTAATTGGTGAATGTTAGCACACTGTTTCTGTGTTCCCAGGCTAGTAATCCAAGGAAGCTGATTTCTAGCAGAGCTTCAGAGGAAGAAATATAAATGCTTTAATATGTGCTCTGGTACCTTTATTGATTCCTTTAGCTATCACATCTTTGGAGGCACGTGACTAAGCTAGATTCTTTATCTTTTGCAACAAAATGAGAGGGAAGGAACTAGAAGTGCTTGAGAGGCTGGCTAGTGACCAATTATTTGGGGATTTACTTGACATCAAGGTATTGCTTTTGAGATGAGTGTCCATGGTACCTTTATTGATTCCTTTAGCTATCACATCTTTGGAGGCACGTGACTAAGCTAGATTCTTTCTCCTTTATCTTTTGCAACAAAATGAGAGGGAAGGAACTAGAAGTGCTTGAGAGGCTGGCTAGTGACCAATTATTTGGGGATTTACTTGACATCAAGGTATTGCTTTTGAGATGAGTGTCCATTTCCTTACAATTTCTGAATACCCTGGGGTAGTGTAAAAGCTGGGCTGTGTGGCAGGCTTTGTTGTCATCGTGGCTGTAGGTGGCATCCTGCTGTGGATTCAGCAGTGTGGAGAGATGCATGCATGACTCAGATTAAGTTTTCTAGATTCTGAAAAGTTAAAACCAAAACGAAGTAGATTTTGTTAACCATTTTAGCCAGCAGTTCTGATAGGTGAGCTGTGAGGTGTTTTCTACTAGTGCTTTGAGAGCTAAGCCTGAGAAGTGGGTCAGCTGATACTTGTAGATGGACTAACATTCACCTCTCCAAAGTCTGACATACTAGAATGAGATAACAGGACTTGAATTTCAGTATGTGGAACTATGAAGTAGCTCAGAAGTAAACATGCAGTGTCATGAAACTAACTGACAATTACTGATTCCTTAACCTTGAGCAATATTTCTGAATACAATTGGCTTACTTTTAAAGCAAACCTAAGATGAATTATATATGGTGTGGTAGCCTGAAAGCCCCAATACATCTTGCGGCCTCTCAGTTTTCTCCCATCCTTATCATTACTAGGTAATGTGAAGGCTGCAAAGAGTATTTTGGCTCAAAGAAAGAAAAAGATTTCTTGCTTCTATTTTGACATATTATACAGCTGGCAGCTTACTAGCCATTCTGCTAAGACAGCACTGTAGACCTTCCTTCAAAGCCTGAATAGTAATTTGGAGACTGTAAGGTTTTTGGCCAAGCAATATGAGATGCTCTTAAACAGTCATACCTCTTCCTTCAGAGAATGCCAGGTGTTATTCATTGCCTCCTATAGGTACAGGTTGATTAATTGTAGCCGTTTTGTTTGGGCCCCTCCTGCCTTGTTAAAGATCGTGATATTGTTGTTTTCTGTTGTGCCTGTGAAGTCCCTCAGTTATCAGACATAGATCAAGATTTGACAGCTTGCCCAGCTTACATTGATTTCTTTTAACGTGAATACATTCTGAAAACAGAGTACTTCACTGCAGCAATGGAGCTATCATCAGACTTTTGGAAAGTGCAGTTGGTGGTTTTTTAATGCCTTTTTTTTTTTTTTTTTTAATGTTAAGACCAGTACTGGTTACATCAGTGCTTCATACTAGTGCTTTGGCACAGAACACTTGAGTTGTTCAGGTTCTGTACATCAAGGAGGGTATCACCACAAACTAATGCTAATGGTAAGAGAATGATCACTTCATAGATGTCAAGTGCTACAGTGAGGATGCTTTTTAAGGGGAGTGCAGGGTAGTTACTGCTGTTTACATAGAAGAGGGCTGTTAGAGTTCGTGTTCTTTGGTAAATCAGTTAATAGAAGGAAAAGTTTGCTTTTTTTCTATGCACTAGTTTGTTGTTGGTCCATCATGCTCTTCTTTCTGCCTCTGCCTGAACCCAAACCCCCTCACAGCCTGACAGAAATGTTCGCTTACGCAGCTAGCCCTGCTTCAGTTTGTACTACATCCTTCTCCAGTGTTCGGCTGCGACATCAGAAGTCGATGTCCATGTCAGCCTCTGTGCACACGAAGATGATGTTGCCTCCAATAGACAATGGCGCAGATAACTTCAGGCCTATGTAAGAACCTGAAATCGTTGTGAAACTAACTTATACCCACTGCTTCTTAACTTTGTGCTGTGGAATTTTAGTCCTAGATTGTTCTAGTATATCTTGCCCACAAGATGTGTGTTTCCTCATTTTTTTAGTCCTGTTTACATTTGTCTTGTGGTGTGTCAGGCTGTCTGTGACATAATCCTGCAATAATGAACCTTAATTTTTTTCCTAGTGTTAGGAGTATTGGACATTCCCTATTGTCAAAGTTTGTGGGAGACTTTAACTGTATATCCTGAAGGACTTCACTACTTGGAGCAGTTCATTTGTAGAGACTGTTGTGTAGGATACTTTCAAATTAGCAAGATTTTCAAAGATGTATATATAAAGTTACCTATTGCTTCTCTTTCCTGGGAGGAAACTTTACTCGTCTATTCTTTTATCAGTCTTCTCAGTGAAACATTTTATGCCTAGCTTTATCTGGTCTTTTCCAGGATACTCCTGTTGAATTTTTTTGCGTGTGTAGGTTTCTGTTTCGGCAGCCTCTTAATCCTAACAAGTTTTGATTCTATACAGTGCTGTAATAATGTTGCTATTTCCAACCTATATAAAAGTGTCTGCTTATGCTTTACTGTAGAATATAGTGTGTTGTGTTTCCTGCAGAACTGTAGTGCTTCTGTAAAGTTCTAGCATTGTTTTTTGTTTTCTGCTCTAGCACTATTCCCGATCAAAGAACTCCTGTTGCTTCAACTCACAGCATTAGCAGTGCAACCACACCTGATCGTATTCGTTTCCCCAGAGGAACAGCTAGTCGGAGCACTTTCCACGGCCAGCTCAGAGAGCGACGTACTGCTACCTACAACGGACCACCAGCCTCTCCCAGTCTATCCCATGAAGCAACACCACTCTCACAGACTCGAACCAGGGGTTCCACTAATCTATTTAGTAAACTAACTTCAAAACTAACAAGAAGGTAAGTTATGTCTTTAACATGGTAATGCAACATTTCCTTTTTATTGGGTAGTAGGTGTACCTAGTTGTTCATTGCTTAGGTTGTTTTGGCCACATTTTCTGTGGCTTAATGTTAATGGCTTAAGAATTTCTGCAACTTATTTTTTCTATAGTTCTTTTTGGTTACAGAAACCATTTGTTTTTAGCAGTTGAATCAAATGAGATAGAAAATGAGACAGCCTGGTCTGTGCTGTTTCTTCTGTGTTCTTTATCCTCATGTCTGAGGTACAAATGCTGCAGATCTGAAATATTTCAGCTCAGTTCAAAAGCTGCTCTCTGACTGCATGGTATGTCAGTAGACAGCATAAACTGGGATCCCAGTCGTGATATTTAACATAGCATTAGAAGCTCAGGTTGTGTTTTCCAATCACTTAGGCTGTTAATATTTCCAGAATAATCTTGCTGGCAACACGCGAACAGAAAGATCACAGGTGAAAGGGTAGGGGCAGGAGACAAAAGCTTCTTTTGGCAGTAGTGCTAGCATAGGTCATCTTAAAATAACGGCAGTACTATGGCTTCGGTCTAGGCAGGAGTCTGGTCAAACCTTGAAAAACTTATTCCTGTTTTGACCTTTAGTTCATGTGCAGATTCTGGTTTTGGTGTGAAGGTGTGTTGGTCTAGCCAAAGCCTAACTTAAGCAGGTGTTGTTCCTGCACTAACAGTTTTTATTCTAATTGGATTTCTAGTTTCAAATCCATGTATGATTTTAAATTACAAACACTAACATTGAAAGCCACCTATTTTCCTTCTATATTTAAAACCTGTTGGTTCACATGCCACATACTTCAGACCACTCCGATATCCACAGCTTGTGTTTGCAGAAGTGAGGGTTTGTTTATCTTTGCCTTAAGATAATCTACATGCTTTTGTACCCTCCGCATCATGTGACATTTCTTGGAATATACCATTCTGATCTTGGCTTGCTTCCTTTTGGTTTAGGCTTCTATCACATCAGCACCAAGCCATTTCCCTCCTCTCTTTTCTGTGAAATATATATGCCTCCTCAGCATTCTCCTCAAAGTCTCCTGTTCCTACAAAATCATGCTAAGCCAAACTCCAGTTTCTCACAACTGGCTGATATCAATTTAGAGAGTGAAGTTATTTCAAAATGTAAAAGTTGTTTCTGTGAAGAACAAAAACGTGTCAGCCTAGCCTTTGGTAAATTTTTACCCTGCTCAGCTCTCTCCCAGCTAACACTTCCTTGGTTTTTTTGTTGTTTTTTTTTTTCTCCTTCTTTTTCTGTTGAGAGAGAGAGATAAAAGATTAATTTATTTTTTTTTAAGAATTAAGTCATCTGCTTTTTGTCAAGTGAAGTCTTAATCAAAGACATGCTTTTGGCACATCTTTCTGTACTTTTGTTTGTAATATCCTTACTTAATTTTCCATCTGATGTTCCAAATGTGGACTCTCAAACTGTGAACGTGCAAGCTTTTCACTTGTGCTGCTAGACCATGCCATTTAGCATTGTGTGTCACTCAGTTGTTTAGGCAGCATTCAAACTTCTATCATTACCTCCAAATTTCAACTTTTGCAGTGCATTGTGGTTTTCTTGAAGGATTTTTTTCTCCACTACTTTTGACAATAGTTTAAATTCCATCTGGACTTGATTAAATAACGTGCAGTTGTAACACAATAGCGCTATTGCAGATGGTTAAGTTTGCTCTTGGAGGACCTCTTATGGTTGAGGCTCTGTTATACTAGGTGCTGTACAAGCTATGAAGGAGATGATGGTCCCATCAAAGGACATGGTTATGTCTTGTCTCCTTAAATAAGATTTTTTAAAAATTCCTTAAAACCTGTTAATCCACGCTAGCATTCTCTAGGGGGGAATCAGGATTCTTTTGGTTATTAACTTAATTATGTTCTGGTGTAGGCAATTGTTACAGCTTCTGCCACTAAATTGACTAAATATTTAAGGCAGTTTTTGGCACAACATGGCTGATCTAATGTTATGAAAGAAGGGAGAAACCCTAACTCTGAAGATACTTGTGATCTAATTATAGTAGAATTGTTGATTTTTGCGTTCTATTTGAAATACTTGAAGACAATCCAAACATATTTTTATGTGACCTTGCAGATTATGAGTTTTGAAGTGTTTTGATACCAGTATGTATTTCAATTTATAATAACTACTGGTGGCGTATTTCCCAGAAAAAAATAAGTTTGGAAGTTGCAGTGGTAAGAGTTTGACTCTTCAGACCCTAAATCATCTATCTGCCTAATCTCAGAATGTATTGAAGTGTAATTTAATTGTGCATTTTAAATGAGAGGTCTTTTTGCATGCTTCACTCTAAATGGCTTTTTCAATTTATTTTGTACAAAACTTTTTGTTAATTATTATTTTGGCTTAATTTCTTTTAGAAACATGTCATTCAGGTTTATCAAAAGGTAGGATTTATTTATATTTAAAAAAAAGCGGCTCCTGCGATTAACAACAGATTTGGCTTCCTAGCCTTGGTTTTCTGAAAACTAAACTTTCTGCTGAGAACTAAATACTTTCTTTCTTGAGAGGAAAGCATAGAATAAATCTATTAACTCATGACGATACTTAAGAATCTGTGGCACCTGTATAACAAAGATGCTAAGCATGCCTTGTGAATTCTTCTTTCTTTGATAGAGTTGGTAGTACCAAAGTAATTCTGTTGTCTGTACTAATACACTTAGCATGCTTATGTTTGAAGAATGAGGTGTTTGATAACAATGATGAAAGTTTAAACAAAACATAAGGTTACATGCAAATAAAGGTAAGTGATGGTAAATTTACATTCTCTTTGTTTTATCATATTTTATAAAAAAGTCAGTTTGAAGTGTTGTCTGCAGTTGATACCATAGGAAGCAAACTGAACACAGCTGTGAATCTAACAGTTTTGTATGGAAGATTGAGTGAAGATGAAATGGCATGTATTTATTTTAAAATGCAATGCATTTTGCTGGAGTGAATTGCAACTAAAGTGCAACTAGAGTACTTCACTTACAAACAAAAAGTATAACATCTATGCTAATTTATTAACAAAAGGCAAAAGCTCAAAAGTCAGATTCACATTTCAAGCCCAAAGGATTGAATTTAGTTTTACAATTTGGGAATGAATCAAGCTGCTACATGTCTTGGTAGTACATTATGGCTCATGAAAGTTGGTTATACAATTTTGATCCACAGGTAAATTTTCCAGTAGAATTTTGTAATACTCTGTTCAGTTATATCTTGTTGCTTCTTAAAGGGTGGTACTTTCAGTTTCCAACTACTGTTCAAACATAGGGAGATGGGGCCAAAAACAAGACATCTGTTTTAACTTTCAAAATGCAAGGCTATGCATGCAACAATTTAAAGCCTTTCAAACCATTTCAGGGCAATACTTAGATTATGGAGACCTGAGATATGTAAATTGCTGCTTAAATTTGGGTTTATTATGCACAGTGTGAATCTAAAGGTACTCCCCCAATTAAATGAGTGAATTTCACACCACAGTAATGGTAATCAGGGCTCTTCCAAACATGGCTATGTTTAGAACTGGAGTTGGTTGGGTTGGCTGGCATTGTCACAGATGACTTGAGACAAGGAACATGCACCGACTCTTAGTTAAGGAAAGAAACCATCCAACACAGTGTACAGATGAAACTGAGCAGCAGCAATAGTTTTAACCCCATGTGCGTCGTGAGCTGTGGGGTGCATACCACTTTGTAAGAGGGAGCTTTCATCTCCTTGTAGTCACATTCCTTGTAAAAGAAGCAGTTGTGATTTGTGCAGCCTCCACAACTGGATGCATGTGAGTTTGTTACTCTGCTGCTATGAAGAAAGATTAAAAATGCTAATACGAATACAGTTTTAAACTAGAAGGTTACTGTTCAAATTTGAGACTTTTAAAAGGTAATTTTTTTTTTTAATTTTTAAACATTTTCCTTTTACTTGAGGCCAGGAATCTTAGACTAATGTGGAAATAGCTGCCACAGCTTCAGTGAATATATATTTTGAATAAGAGATTTGCAATGTCTTACACCACCTACGCAGGACCAGAGTGTGCTTTTTAATTTTAAGTGTGCGTGGTGTCCCTCCCTACCTGATCTGTATGTAGGTACAAAATTAAATTGAAAGTGTTGGGGGTTTTGGCAATTTCTTCTGGCTTTATATGCTGTGAATCTTACCTAAACTCACTGGGTTTGATACTGAAAGAACAACTGTAACCCAATAGCACGTGTGTGTGTGTATATATATCTATATATATATATATACACGTGTATATATATACAGTACTGCAACATCATTCTAGGGAGCTGAACAAAAGTAGATAATCAGTCACTCCTTTTATTAAACTACTGAATTCTAATATTGTACTCCATACACAGAGGTAAAATATATATATAATATATACATATATATATATCTCTTGTACTATGCACTGTCCTTGCCAATCTGCATATTTTGGAAGTCTTAACTTTTTTCCTGACATCAAAAATTACTTTCTATGTTGTGGATTTTATTGCAGCATCTTTTATCCATTTCCATAAATTGATCTTATTTTAGCATCTTGCACTTTTTGCTGTTTTTCCCTATCTTTTTAGGCAGTTTCCTTTGTTTATTTAGATTTTTAACACAGAGTGTACAAAGATGTAAAGAACAGAAAACACAGCATAACTCAGGACACATGTATGGAAACATTCTTATTTTTGAAAGCCTTTCACAAACCCTAACGGAGATAGTGTTCTCATTTTTCATTCAATGTCTATACATAACTTTCCTATATATTTGTTCTGTTCTCAAGACCAAGGACCGTTTTGGTCCATAAAATTAATTTATGTAAAAACACAAGCAAAAGCAGAAAATGTAAAGCATAAACTAGAAATTTGTGCTTCCCACAGAAGTAAAGATTGTATTAGCAGTGAAGAGGCCTCAGGGCTGCATCTGACTTGCAGACCCACCAAAACAATACTGGCAGTACAGTAAGTGACTGTTCCCAAAGCACCAGTGCTGGGCTCTTGAACTGGACCATAACCATGTTCTTCGTGAAGGAAGGAGCATCCAGAGACTGGCACAGCTTTCGAAAACCTGGTGTGGTGGGTCATATTTGAGGGTGTGTGACACCAAATGCGGTTCCTCGTGCTAAATGAATGGAACGCTGATGTATGGAAAAACTGAACAAAGAAAGGATTTTCTGAGAGGCTTCCTTGAAAAAGTGTTTATTATTTCAAAGTTGCACATGTTTTGTAAATAATGACCTTTCTTAGATTTAGACCACAGTGGTTTACAAACAGAACAATTTGGCTTAATTTCAGCCTAAAAAGGGTCTGAGAGCAGCATTAGAGATTTTTCCCTCCTAGACTTTTATGGACAGGTTCCAGTAACAGTAAGACTGTTACTCCTATTGTTGGGGAGACTGGTTATGCTCTCATTTTCTACAACCTCTGTTGCAAGTTTAAAAACAAACAAACCAACAACGAAAACCAAACAGCTAAATAAAATCCATAAATGCTTGCTCTTAACAAAGCTGTCATCTTCCACGTTGTAGGAGCACAGCAGGCTCTTTAAAGTTCAAGTACTCTAGATTTTCCAGTTGAGCAGTATCTTCAGATTTGTTGCTTGCTTTGCCCAGTAAAACAAGCCTTTCCCAGATCATCTGGAAGGTGTGGATTTGTTCAGTTGGTACATGTGATGGTTTCTCTGCTCCCACCTACCCCCTTCTTAGTCCTACAGAGTTGTTGTGAAGGATGAGTTCTGAGATATGCAGACCTTATAAATCTTTTTCCACCTTCTACTATATCCACCATAGATAAGTAGCATGAGATCTCATGAAAATGACTGCCATTAAAAACCCACTTTGAAGCGCTGGAATTAGTTGAGGACTTGTCACTTGTTTTCTTCTCGTTTACCTTCCTTGTCCTTTTTGTTTGCGACAGCGTTTCCTTAGTCAATGGAAACGTTTCCTAGCAGAGACCCCGTTGTACCGTGTGCTGTGCAGTACCTCTGATCGGATGCTGTTGTGACAGAGAGCTCATAGCTGAGTGATTTACCATTTCCTTACCTGAATTTCTGTGGCAATGGCAGCATGAGTTTTGAGCAAGGATCGAGCTCCAATATAGCGAGTACTGCCACCGTGCTCCTCGTGGTGCTAGCACAGCGTCTGTTCCCCTGTGACAGGGACTGCAGTCATCTTACAAACCTCTTCCGTCACTGCAACCCTCAAAAGAGAGGAAATGCGGCAATTAAACCTTGTAAAACCCCACACAGCCTGATATAAATACTGCTGTGCATCAGTAAATAAGCTTACTCTTATATTCGTATCCCAAGACACCTGTCAGACAAACTGCTTTAGTAATTTACGTTATTCAATGAAGCCATGTACTAGCTTAGTGTAGGCTTGATAAGAAGGCTTATAAAGATAGCTTGCCTGCAAGCAGAATTAACACTGAGATAGCAGTGCAGTAACGAGAAGGTGATTTTCCACGTTGATTCTGCTTGATTCTGGGCTTTTGAAAAATGGTAGTAATCAGCAATGTAGCTTTAAGCAATGCAAGAAGATTCAAAGCTTAAGTTTGCTCAGATGTGGAAGATACGTCAGTGTGGGAATTAGTAGGGTGGAGTTACAGTTTGAGAAATCTTGGATTTACCTCTAAACTTTTGCTAAAATGTAAATGCATTTTGTTCTTTTGTTTTAAGGAATTTGATATTGTTTAAACACTTACTACCTCGGATTTGATGTGCATGCAAACACACAGGGTGACCAGACTTGTCTATAAATAGGTTTTGTTTTTCAAGTATATATTTTATTTTAAGTATAATTACCCTAAAAATAATTAGGAGTCATTTATTTCTCATTTAGGAAGTACTTATTAAATAGTACAATAACTTCAATGTGCTTTGTAATTTTAGTTTAACATCTCTGCTTTTAGAAGTTCAACTTTATTTAATGAGTTCTACAGTGTTAATATTTTTAAACTTGCAATGTAAAAATTAGTTACAGGTCTTTATAAAAACTGTAGTTCATAGACTTCCATTTCGTTTGACATTGTTACATTTTGAATTTGGTCTGACCTATGAAGTTCTTTACATCTTTGTTGCTTTCTATTTTAACACACCTTTGCTATGATTGCAGTGTGTTTTAGCAACTGCTCAGATATTGTATATTGTAGTGTAAGATTTGTCTTCTCTTTCCCACTTCCTTTTGCTTCTGCATTCTTTTCAATGAGGCTCCCGACTGAATATGAGAGGAACGGGAGATTTGAGGGCTCAAGGTGAGGGTAAAATTTTTGTTTAAAATGTTACTTAGGTGAGTTTGAACGTTTCTTCCCTTTATTATGTGGCATAGTGGCTTCAGGCAGCAGCTTTTGTTTTGTGTAAGGCTTTGAAACTAAACAAAGAAACATTTCTGTCTGCAAAACAGCTATCAAAGCACTGACTGACTTGGTTCTAAACTTTCATCTTTCCTGTTGTCTTTTCCCTTGTGTGTTTTTATTTGCATTTTAGTTGTTAGAATTTACTGTTGTCTTGTAGCAATGTAAGTAAGTTGCCTCTAGTGAGGCTGCAGATGTGTGGGATAACCACTGAAGTGTGTTAAGATATTTTTCATCTCCAAAATCACAGATTCACAGATCACAGTATTTTTCATGTTACGCTCTTCTTCACAAATCTGCATGTAAAAGAAGTACTAGAAATCATAAAACTTACGCTGGTTTTCCCAAGTGCTTTCAGGTAGAAAAAGCTTTCTAAAATAAAATGAGCATTGAATAAAATTTGGTGTTCCCCTGCCCCCTTACAGCCTTATTAAATTAAAACCTTAAAGGTAAAACAAAGTGCTCTTTAATTTGCTTAATGAATTTTATAACATCTGGCAAAACATGTAGCTGGATTTAACAGCGTAATTCTATGACCCTCGCAGTTACTGGAAGCCTTTCTAATACAAGGTAAAATGATTAAATATAGATATTTGAGTAATATATTTATTTAGTTTTGACATTGCTATCAGGTTTTTATTTAACTTTTTAATAATTGTCTGCTTAATGGTGGTACAAGAAAAGCATTGTGTAACCATAAATTTATTGTCAACTATTTTAAAGAGCAGCCTGACTTAATATTGTGAATTGAACTTTGAAGCTCAGCATGACATCTAAACTGCATGGTTTGGGGTCAGTTAGGTTAGGTATTTTCAGAAAATATTTAAGGATGACAGTCAATATATTGAAGTCTCTTGTCCTGAGGACAAGCAAATTTGAAGAGGCCACTGACAGTATACAAATACTCATAAAGCAAATCTGTCATATTTTTTCCCTGGAGTTCTAAATGTAGTTCCTTATTCTTCAGCTGCGTGACCACTGTTTTTAATTGAAGTAAAAGAATCATTGCACACTGGAAATTTCTGGAACGTTTCTTTTCTTTGTTCTGTATAATTTTATCCTTACCGAAGGAAAAGCATTTTTATTTAAAAAAAAAAAATTACAGACTTGGGAACTGCAGCCTCGATATTTTGTGCTTTATATCTTAAAACTGTGACAGTAATAGTAACCCTCTTTTTTTTGCCGTCCTTACTTGCAATGTTGAGGAGGAGTCTAATAGTGGCTTCAAATTTTCCTTCCTCCATTTCAGCCTCAAAGGCACTTAGCTGTGTAGCTTGTAGCAGCAGAAGATTGCATCATTTCACTGCTGTCAGTCATTGGTATTAAACAAATCACTGACCAACTTACAAAGAATTTCGTCCCTGTTGAAGGTAACCCCAATAGCCTACAAAGTGGTGGGTCCCTAGTGATCAACTCAAACGCTTCCCAGTGCAGGAAGGCCAGAGTGAAACCAAACGAGCCCAGCACGTGTTGGCCTTGGGGCAGTAGGTGGATGACCCCTGGCAAGGTCCCCTGGTCCTGCTGTCCTTCCTCCTGCTTGCAGCTGACTCCTGTGGGACTCTGTGGGCCTTCTCAGAGTTTGGTCTCCAACCTACTGCACGGGAGGAGGTGCAGAGGAATCCCCAGGATCTTTCTGCGTGGGCTTATCCCCGTTGTGTGTGAGTGGGCAACTCCCATGGACTGGCACTCCCATGACCTGGGCTGACCACTCTTTAGTCACAAGTCGACTTTATTTGAATGTTCCAGAAACTTCTAGCACAGACCTGGTGTTTCAGCTGCCCACGTGGCCTGAGAACAGGGGTTTGAGCAGAACCTGCCTTAAAATCAAGTCGTAGGTGATGCATGTTACTCTACCGCCACAAGGTCATTTCCCTTGTCCTCCTGACTCCAGTGACTTCCAGTTGTGTCACTCATTGTACCATTCCTTTGTTTCAGCCACAACAGCTAATGCTTTACCTTGACTGTGTGTTTGTACAGCAGCTAGGAGAGCAGGGCATTGGTTGCAGCCGGAGCCTCTAAATGCTGCTCTAATACCATTAGTATGTGTTGAGTATTAGTTTGCTTCACTAACATGAACCGTGGAGAAGGTAGTGGCCTTGCTAACTAATAAATTCCTGTCTTTCAGCCGCAATGTAGCTGTGGATCAGAAGGATGAGAACAAGGAAGCCAAGCCTCGGTCACTGCGTTTTACCTGGAGCATGAAAACCACCAGCTCCATGGATCCCAATGACATGATGAGAGAAATACGAAAGGTCCTGGATGCCAATAATTGTGACTATGAACAAAGAGAGCGGTTTTTGCTTTTCTGTGTCCATGGAGATGGGCATGCGGAAAACCTTGTACAGTGGGAGATGGAGGTGTGTAAACTGCCAAGACTGTCCCTGAATGGAGTTCGCTTTAAGCGGATATCGGGAACATCCATAGCTTTTAAAAACATTGCTTCCAAAATTGCCAATGAATTAAAGCTGTAACAAGAAAAATAGTTAAGTTGTAAATTAGTTAGCAATTTCAAGTGTTTTTGAGAATTCCGATGGAAATGTATAGAATAACATTTAGGCAATAACTTCTGCATCCTTCTGAATAGTGATATTAAAAAAAAAAAGCTGCTGAGCTAGGAGGGAGAGTTGGACTTTTTTATAAGTGCACTACAGCATTAAAGTTGCCTACTATGTAAAATACTACCCCTTCTGCTTTATTTCCATTGCTCCTAAGTCTTTGACAACAAATTGAAACACAGAATATATTCATTTAAATATGCCTCCTGTTTGTGTGGATGTGTGAATGTACAGTATGTGTGTATAATATGTAAAGTATTATATGTAAACAATTCATTTACAACATCGAGCTGTACCAGTACCTCTTTTTGGGCTAATTTTGGTGCTAAAAATTGAAATGGCCAAGGAGGAAACACTTGAGTTAATATTTAAAATAACTGAAGCGACAACCAGTAAATGCAGGTTTACAGTTCACTGCTGTGTTAAGGAAAAAAAAAAAAAAAAGTGTGTGAAGGGTTTGGATTTACGGTTGTGAACATTATTAGTCCTGTTTTCTAAGTAGATCTCGTGAGATTATTAAAAATTCACTTTTACTGAGTAGTCTTGCATTATATTTTGCCCACCTATTTATTATTTAAGTCTGAGACAAATTTTTAAAATGTAGTTGATTTGTGCATTAAAATTTGGGTAAACGCTTCCATTCTTCTGCTTCCGCTAAACTACTAAAATTGTATCTTTGTCCTTTTGGCTTACAAGTATTGATTGCAGCCAAGAACCCTTTTCTGTTGTTCCACTGTTCCTCTACAGAATGAGGCAGTCTAAAAAGGATGTGCTGAATGCTTACTAGTGACTTTTTTTTTCAGACCAAGGTCTCCACATTAGACTAGGTCAGACTGATACAAAGCACAAAAGGACTTTCAAATAATGACCATATTTTGATAAAAGTCGCCATGCCTGAGTCGGTGCCGTTCTGAGGTATTGCTGCGCGTGGCAGTACTGTCCTTTGTGTTCTGGGCGCACACAGTATTGAAACCCAAAAGTGGGAATCAAATTGGCTACTGATCTCCTCTGTTGTAACATCCAACTTGCTAAACTACAGCCATAGGCAGTAGCAATTAAAACTTTTCCTTGCAGCTCTCTTCCAGCGTGCTTCCACTTGGCTCTGATTGTATTGCTTTTGATGGCTTTGTGCCAGTTGTGTCTCTAGCTTCTGCTGCGGACGGAGTCCACGGTTGCTCTTTTAACGTGCAGTGTGGAAACCCACCCTTGATGAACTCTCTGATGGCCAGCTAGCTTTCTGTAGGACATGAAGCTACTCTGGGATGGTCCCCACTTTTTAACCATCACTGTGGTGAGACAGATTTGATTTTGCAAACTGAAAAATGAAGAGATTTCTTCATGCATTGTTTC